CATGATGCTTGATGTGCGTTTAAAGGCCCAAAATAGTTAAGTGGTAAGATAAGTATGTGGATTGGCGTCATTGTTAACTTTCGTGCTTTATGAACTTGATGATTTGGATGGTACCATTGAATTGGATGATAGTTTGTTAAATGTGGGACCCGCATGTGAATTCACAAAATTGTTTTGTCCTTTGTTGTTCTCGATTGATTGACTTGAGATATGCTTACCTTATGCTCGATTATTGTTGTAAACGTGTTATGCTATTCATCGTAGTGCATCTCGATCGATTATGTGTTTATATGATTTCACTTATGATGTACGTTTGTGCCACTCCCTTCGAAAAAAAAAAAGAAAAAAAAGAAGAATAAAAGGTGAGTTCGCGAGGAGGTACGGACTAGGCTCCTCTTATCCCGAGCCACCTCGTGGAATGGGATAATGAGCCCGGGAAACCGGTCTAGGGAACTCGAGGAGACCCCTCGAGGTTAAACCTAGATAAGCATTGTCTAGGAAACCTCGTTCGGAAAAAGAAGCTCACATAATAATAAAAAAAAAAGAAGAGAAGAAAAAAAAAAAGAAAAAAGAAAAAAAAAAGAAAAAGAGAAAAAGAAGAATGTGAGTTGGCTTATTGGTTTCATACGTATGATGTTTATATGTTTAGTAGACCATCTATAGCTTTTTGCACGTGTTTGTAGAAAAAGGAGGATTTGATCGAGAAAATCATGTGTAGGATGACTTGGGACGAGTTTTTGTTTTGTATGGATTCACTTTGTGGGGAACATGTTTCCGAATTTGAGTTCGATTCGTTGGCTTACCGGATGATAAAGAGAGTCTCATATTCACATGATTGTTAACCTTGGACCATTCGATGTTTCTTTTCGAGCTACTTATTATTTTGTTTGCTTGAGGACAAGCAAAAAGCTAAGTGTGGGGGAGTTGTTTATTGTATTTTTGTGCTGATTTTCATGTGTTTTATGTACTTTAGTTTAGTGTTTTTAGGTTCGTTTTAGTGTCGACCGGTCCATTTTATCGTTTTTCGTGCATTTTTATTCTCGTATAGTGTTTTTGTGGTTCGGCGTACTTTTCTTGTCTTTTTGGTGTTGACTAGGTCCAAATTGTTCGTGTTTGGGAAGACGAGCCATTTCCGAGCATATATATTAAGTATCGATTTGAGCATTCCATGACGAAGAGAAAAAGATTTGAGGAGCGTGGGTCAAAGTTTCGAGTCAATCGGAGAAGCGTGCGAGAAATTAGAGCGAATCGAGTATCAAGTCTGCTCGCGAATTTCAGGATTCGAGCCCGCGAAATGCCCTTAGCCTGCGAGTCTGCCCAGCAGCTTCCTTTGCCCGCGAGTTCCTTCGCTCCGCGCCCGCGAAATGCTTCTTTGCCCGCGAGTTCGTCCAAGAGCGCACCAGCCCGCGAGTTTCTTCCCTTCGCGCCCGCGAATTTGCCAGCGAGCTCGCGAGTCCATTCCTAATGCGCCTCGCGCGCGCGAATATCACTGCGACGTCGCGAGTACCCTTTCCCAGCGCGCCCCGCGTGCGCGAACTTCATGGCGAGGTCGCGAGTGCCACTCCCAGCGCGCCCCGCGCGCGCAAATTCTTCCGCGTGGTCGAGAGTGCCACATTTCCTCGTGCCGCGCCCGTGCCTCCCCGTGCCCGCATCAGTGCCACTCGTGCCCGCGACCTCGAGAGTGTTTTACTAAATGTGCGTGTTTTTAGTATGTGTTTGTGGTGTAGCTATAAATAGACTTTGTGCTTTGTAATTTTAAGAACAACCCTCATTTCCCAACTTTTAAGTTGGGAATCCTCTCCATTTTCTCGCTTCTCTCTCCTCTTTTCTTTTTTTTAGTTTGGTTGAGAGCTTATGAATCAAGTTTTCCGGCGAATTTCCGGCGACATTGTTTCGAGTAAAGTTTCGAGCTTTTGACTCCGTTTCTCTTTGCAAGTGCGTGTAAGAGTGGGTACTTAGTCTTAAGCCCCATTACTTCGTATATCTTTTTCTTATGATGTTTATATGTTTAGTAGACCATCTATAGCTTTTTGCACGTGTATGTAGAAAGAGGAAGCTTGGATCGAGAAAATCATGTGTAGGATAACTCGGGACGGGTTTTTGTTTTGTATGAATTCATTTCGTGGGGAACATGTTTTCGAATTTGAGTTCGATTCTTTGGTTTACCGGATGATAAGGAGAGTCTCATTTTCGCATGATTGTTAACCTTGGACCATTCGATATTTCTTTTCGAACTACTTATTATTTTGTTTGCTTGAGGACAAGCAAAAAGCTAAGTGTGGGGGAGTTGTTTATTGTGTTTTTGTGCTTATTTTCATATGTTTTATGTGCTTTAGTTTCGTGTTTTTAGGTTCGTTTTAGTGTCGACCGGTCCATTTTATCGTGTTTCGTGTATTTTTATTCTCATATTGTGTTTTGTGGTTCGGCGTATTTTTCTTGTCTTTTTGGTGTTGTTTAGGTCCACACGATTCGAGTCTAGGGAGACGAGCTATATCCGAGACATTTCCGAGCCATCCGAACCATGTCCGAGCCACACGAACCATTTCCAAGCATATATATATTAATTGCGCGGCGATATCGGTTTGAGCATTCCAAGTCGAGGAGAAAGAGATTTGAGGAGTGTGGGTCCAAGTTTCGAGTCAATCGGAGAACCGTGCGAGAAGTTAGAGCGAATCGAACATCAAGTGCTAGGTGCCTGCGAGTTCCGCGGTCCGCGCCCGCGAACAGCTCCTAGCCCGCGAGTTTCCCAGCACGTCGTGCGTCGCCCGCGAATCTCAGCACCTCGCGCCCGCGATACCAGTTCCGCCCGTGAGTCTCCGTGCCAAGCATGCCCAGCCGCGAGTTCCTTCCTCTCGCGCGCGCGAAATGCACCGCGACGTCGCAAGTTCTGTCCCAGCATGCCCGCGCCACGCGAATCCCTTGGCGAGGTCGAGAGTGCTGCAGCCACAGCCCGTCCGCGCGCGCGGAAACTTCCGCCAGGTCGAGAGTGTTCCATTTTCTCCGCGCCACCTCGTGCCGCACCGTGCCTTCCTCGTGCCACACTCGTGCCATTCGTGCCCGCGACCCGCGAAACTGCCCGCGACCTCGAGAGCGTTTCATTTAATGTGCGTGTTTTTAGTGTGTGTTTGTGGTGTAGCTATAAATAGACATTGTGTTTTGTATTTTTGAGAACAACCCTCATTTCCCAACTTTTAAGTTGGGAAATCCTCTCTATTTTCTCTCTTCTCTCTCTTTCTTTTTTTTTGGTTTGGAGCTTATGGATCAAGTTTTCCGGCGAATTTCCGGCGACGTTGTTTCGAGTAAAGTTTCGAGCTTTTGACTCCGTTTCTCCTTTCAAGTACGTGTAAGAGTGGGTACTTCGTCTTAAGCCCCATTACTTCGTATATCTTTGTTTGCTTTTGTGAAAATTGATATTGTGCTTGTGTTGCTTGGAGGAAAAGATTGAATCTTTAGATCGTGAATGCTTGACTAAGTGTGCCTAGAAGTTGAATACTTGCTCGTCTTGTGCTAGAGTTTGGTTTAGCTTTCTGGTTTTAGCTAGCATGGCCATGTTCGGTTATTTGCGTGTGTTTGAGCATAGAGACTCCGACAAACCAAAATCCCTCTTTCCCCCTTGATTTCTTTCACCTCTTGCGTGCTTAGTTAATTGCTTTCGATTGCTCTTATCTCGTGGATTAATTTAGCTTAAATTCAAACCCACAAATTGCGAGTAGAATGTTTAGGACCTTTTTGGTTGTGTGACCTTGACGACTAGGTAGTAAACGAAGCTCCGAACAGCCTTCCTTTGAGAACGACCCGAGTCGGGTAGCTCGGTTACCACATGCCCAAAAATACTACAAACAAAATGTTGGGATTGTTTGAATCTCACCCTCCCTCCCAAATCAAATTATCGGCGCAGAGCAAATTATGAGAGATCGAGTTGCGGGCTGAGGTGAAATCGAAAAGCAAAACACTGATTTATGGCCAGATAAGTGCTGCAAACGTGGCGTTAGAGTGTGATTTGGATATATCAACTCAACCAAAAAATAAAAATAAAATAAAAACTTAAATTTAACATAATCTTAATATACCTCCATTATCCTCAATATTATCAATATTATTAAATAATATTAATCAATCATCTTTACATATTACATCAATTTTAATTCACTATTCATCCACCCATATAATTTTAACTATCTATCATTTTTCTCTTACTTTTACATCAAATAAACTTTAATCATTTTATTTTAAATCAAAAATTCTATAGAGCCATCGAATGGTTTTTCTTATGGAGCCATCCACCACTTAATGTATTGACACTTGTCCAAATTATACTTATTTCACGACACGTGTCAATACACTATTGGTGAATAAGTGTGGATGACTCCATAAGTCGAGCCTTCTGATGGCTCAACAGCAAAACTGTATTTTAGTTATCATTTTAATACAAATTCAAAATCTCACTCAAACTTAACTCAATTATTTTTTTTTTCAAAATCTCTATATATATAATTGCTGGCAAGCTTCAATAAATTTTATTCAGTCAACAATTAATAAAAATAGGACTTCATTTAATAAAAATCTTTATGACCAACATTCAAATGACAGTTACACAAGTAAAACGTTATTATCATTAATTTTTTATTTTGTAACAGTTTTACAAGATTTTAAATTTTCTGAATATACAATATTAAATTATTTTACATCTAATATTCATATTATATTTTATATACAGTTATACAAAAAAAAAGCCTGATTTATATGAATGTTAAATAATTTATATTTATATTTATATTATACATTTACATAAACTCAAAATTTTAAAATGTAATACATATATACTTTATCTAATTTAAATTTTTAAATATCATATTCGTATGTATAATATATAAATTTTTGTTTTTTTCTGTGCATGTGCACGTGATCAAATACTAGTTAATTATATTTAACAAAGAAAACCAATTAAAACTAAATAAAACCCATATCCAATCCAATCACATTAATTATTCGCGTTTCATCAGCCTTTTAGCTACAATTTGCTGCTTACTCATTTTCAACAAGCGGACCATAAAAAATGGAAAAACCTCCTCAAATTCGCCGATTTCATGAGCTTCCATCGGCTGAGGAATTCGCTTCCAGGATTGAGCCCAGAAATGTTCCGGCTGTAATTGTTCTATCACCTTCTTATTGCACTCACTCTGCATAAGTTTTGTTTTTCCTTAAGTACTGAATGTTTGTTCTTTTACCGTTTTTAATGATTTTGAAGGTGTTCAGTGGCTGCGTAAAGAGCTGGAAAGCGTTTTCTAAATGGGACATGTCGAGTGGCGGTCTCGATTACTTGCAGGTATGTCGCTGTTTCGAAGTTTTTGAGACGGAAATATGAGCTGAAGTGCATATTAGAATTGTGTTCAGGTTCTTATTGGTTGATGAATAAACTTGGTGAACTATACTGGCAGAGGGGATAGCTTTTTTCCTTGGAATGGATACCGGTTTTTGGACCTCAAGTTGTTGTAAATCCTGATATGTTTAGTTAATTTTGTCTGAATGGTAGTTATAAGAATGTGAAATCGTGCTGAATCTTCGTATTGGAAGTGACCAGAATGAACTTTTGAATCTAGAGAACATGTTGAAGATGAACTATTCTTGATATTGGAGTGGTCATTTGTATCTGCAAAATATTGATATTAAGAATTGACTTCCGAACATGTGAAAACGTGGAAGAATGGAATTAATGGGTGTGATCGTGAAAATGAGAATGATGCCTTTGTGTTTGAAGATACATGAAACATTTGAAGGGTTATTTCTTGTTATCAAGAATGATAATATGGGATTTCTTATGGTAGTAGTTCAATTTCTTTTCACACATGGATTATTGTTAACTGTTGGGCCTATAGGATGTTGACAGTCTACTTGGTTCTGATTTGGATTAGACTGACAACAGTTTGTCTAAGATTGGAGAGTGAATTGAAATTTTGTTGACTTATGAACACCACTCATCATAATTGTTTATGTATGTCTGGAGATGTCATCTACATTCTTTACCATGGAAAGCAGGAATTGGTGGGCTCATCCGTTGTAGGGGCTATGATATCCAGTTCTGCGCCTGTATTTTATGGAGATATAAGAAGTCATGAAAGGGTGAATATATCTGTTCTTTACTTACAAGAATGTAATGTGAAGCTAGAAATCATTGAGCTTCTCATATGTAGTTTTTATGCTTTTTGTAGGTTCCACTGCCATTTTCTACATTTATTAGATACTGCAAAGATCTTTTACAATCTGGTGTTGGTGCCCAAGACTCCAATTCTCCTTTAAGGAAGCATAAACAGGAGGAACATATTGCCCAACATGGAAATCAAATTACAGAAGGAGAATGTTCTCAGCAAATATATTTAGCGCAGGTTGTAAGTCATGGTCTAAGTTAGGCTATTGATTGTGCTGAGCCGTGATAATTTATAATGGGGCAGTTCTTCGAAATTAGCAAAGTCAAGTTTATCATTGTTACTGAAATTTGTCATCAACTTCAATGGATACATAGTAAACTAGTTTAGTTTAAATATTTGTGGACTCTGTATTACACTTCGATGGGCGATGATATAATTCCTGTTTTAAACTAAATTCATATTCAGAGTAAAGTTCATATCAAGACATGATATACCACCAAATGTGTTATAAACTAAATACGGATCCTAAATTATCTAACTTGGTATATGTTAATGCACAAGTAATAACCTGAAGTTATGTGAACCCAATTTGACTCTTTCATTTGTCATTTCTTACCATGTTGTCCTCATTGTTACGATTCTATGCATAATGAACCCATGTAATTTAGTTGATCAATCCGTGCATATCTTGTTTAAATACTCAAGTTTGTAGCATCCATCTTATGTTTTCTTACACGCACTAATGTTGGCTGTTGCTAATCATGTCAGTTTCACAACATTTTAATGTCAAAGTAAATTAGCCAGTATACCATGCATATCGTTGTACCCGATTACAGTCGGAGGTTCATTTGTCAATTTCAGATGGGCTTTGTGGATGCATGTAAATATATCTTTCTAAATTGCCTGAAGCATGCTGAAGCTACTCAGTTGAGTTTGAATGGGTGAAACTGCTAGCGAGCTAATCGTGCCTTAGATCATGCTCAATTTACTTATTATCCCTTACCACTGAAGCTCTTATCATCCACAGCTTTGATATCCATTTTCAGTTTTTCCCTCAGCTGCTCTCAAGTTCCTCATATCTTGAACTGCATTTTGGTTTTGTAATTTTTGTTTTTGGGTTTCTAGTATTTCCTAATTTTTGTTGTATGATTCAGGTACCAATTATGAATGCTGAAAATGAAGAGAATGCTCAGTTGGAATGGTTAAGAGAAGACATTGAAATCGTGCGTATGTCAAGTTTTCTTCATTTCCCTGCTTACTGCTTTGACAAGTGGAACTGGTACACATCTCATGGTTAACATTTTAAACATACCTGCTTTTGTTTGACAGCCTGTATTTCTGGATGGCAAGAAACTTGCTTCCATCAATTTGTGGATGAACAGTGCTAGGACTCGATCTAGTACTCACTATGATCCGCACCAAAATCTTTTATGCATCATTTCAGGATGTAAACAAGGTAGGGGAGTACGACATATATTTGACATTTGTGGTATAAACATGTCATCGTAGCCTAGATTAGATTTCCTATTACTAACATGCAGTTAGGAAAAGTTTATGCCGTGGATGAATATATATTGAGCCACTTGCCGAGTAATAATCTTTAGCATGCTAGCATCCTAAAATTGTGGAGAAGATATTGCGATTGTGCCATGTTGTTGCTGAGGCTGGTTTGAATGGAGGATTCTTCACAATGTTCTGCCCTTTGTACCTTAAGATACATGACCAATGTTCTCTTTGCTTGCATATTGGATTGAAGTTTCTGTGTTGTAATTTGTAAATAAGAAGGATTTACAATGTCGGACATTTGATATTGATTTTGATTTCCAGATCGACTTGTGTTTAACTTTGGAACAGCATGTTACGAATACTTGTGCTTGTAATTATATTTTTATTTTCATAGAGAAACTGTCTACTCGAAGATATGAATAACATGGGAGTATTTTATGGTTTTACCTGAGGGCTGAGGTACATAGACATCATCTTACCATGCTTTCCGTGTTATACAACAACAACGACATACTCAGTATATTCCCAACTAGGTTGTGGTCTGGGGGGTCAGTAGTACGCAGACCTCACCCTTGTAATTATACAAGGAGGTTGTTGCCGTAGCGACCCAAGGTGCATTGCGTCGTTTGATATATTTTTTTTTCTAGAAACTTCACTAATAGAAGAAGCACTAGAATTTAGTTGATCCATTTTGATCTAGTCCCTTATTAGCACTAAGCACTAGAATTTAATTGAGTCTTCCGTGTTATGCTGAAGGAAAATCATTCTTTCTTTTCCATTTAACTTGTCTCTTTCATGCGTGTCTGTTTCTATGTGATGTATCGTTCACTGAACTTCTGAAGTATAACTTATAGATCATCAGGAACTCTTTATTTCTCACGTGACTAGTAAGAGGAGTTATGAATGATGTCCTGTCTTGAACAGTGGAAATTGTATTGTAACTCACCCTTCAGCAAAATATAAGATATGATCTGACTTCTTATATCTGTATTATTCAAAATTCAGTTGTTTTATGGCCTCCTTCAGCTTGTCCCTTCCTGTATCCGTTGCCCTTATATGGAGAATCTTCGAATCACAGGTATTTACTATCTGTTATCAAAATTAAGAGTGGAGTAACATTCTCGCACCTCATGTTCCAACCTTCATCAGTTCCAATTAAAAAGTAATGAACACGTTCTCTTTGCCAGTGCCATTCCTTTAGAGAATACCAATTTTAGTCTCTACCCAAGGGCCAAGTTGATGGATGAGTACTCCCAGAAGGTTATCCTTCATGCAGGTGATGCTGTCTTCATTCCTGAAGGATGGTAAGATTACTTTGTTAATTTTAACTAAATCACAAATTGAAGTATGGTCATAACACATTAAACTAATACCTTTAATTTTGAGTGAGGACATTATTGGATGTGCATGGAAATTTGGAGCATATTAGGTCACATTTTAAAACTGAATTAATTTAAGCTTGACCAGATTAGAAGAAAAGATAAAGCATTGTAAACTTTAATGGTGCATTCTGAACAATTCTGGAGCTAAAGTGCTAAACTATATTGGTGGACAAATTATAATCTAATTCACTTCAAAATTGAAATAAAATTATTAAAAAAGTTCCAGGGGATTAATCTAACAATTCAACAAGAAAATTAAAGAATGAATAAAGTTGAATAATTCATTTGGCATATGTTTGATTGAAGCTGATTTACCTCTGTTTAATTTGTTGGACGAGTAACACGGAAAGCAAAAACAATCACCATGGACTGCACCCTTGCAAGCACATTATTTGTTTGGTTATTTCCTTTTGCTATTATCTTGTGTAGCACATGAAAATGTCCATATACTAAAAACATATGCTTTGGGAATTGAGTTAATAGTTTAAAAACATAATTTGTTAGCGTAGGTCTAAATTAGTGCTAGTTTACCACTTGACAGACTGAGTTTCTTTAGAAGATTATATGCCACATATTGAGTCATTAAGTTAGATGATATGCACAATTGGTAAATATTGGTAGATTTCTCAAAATTTTGTTACCTCTGTCTGTTCAAATATGTTCTATAAATTCTGTTCCAGGTTCCACCAAGTGGACAGTGAGAATTTAACTATTGCTGTAAATTTCTGGTGGCGGTCTGACATTATGTCAAGCATGTCAGATCACATGGACGCATACTATCTACGTAGAATATTGAAAAGGTATGTTCCAGCATCTAGACTATGGTCCTTGGTTGTTCGTGAGTTACTAACGGAACAAACTAACCTTTTCCCCCTTTTTTCTCGTTGGCCTCCTTTCATCTTGTTCCCCCTTCAATGTCAACTATAAGGCTGACTGACAAAGAAATGGTAAGCAAATGTTGATGTTTACATGTTAGTTATCTTTTGCATATGTGAAAATCTGTTTATTTATTTATTTTTTTAGCCATTTGAGTAGATTTCTCTTAACAGAGAAATAACTAGATTTAATTGAAATCTGAGCAATCAGATATGTGAATATACATCTGTAAGGAACAGTGTTAATTAACTTCTGGGTCAACCTGATGTTCTTCATGGAAATAATCCTTTTATTGTCTTATACAGACACTCTTCATTGTATCTTGCATGAAATGAAATAACTTATCATTAAAAGCTTAACACTTAACCATAAAACCTACATTGGTTCTCTCAGCTGGCAAACCTCGTTTATATTTGCACTGAAATCGGTATCTCAACATGACAATTGAAAGTTCTGATATCTGATTTCTGTTCACTTTGCTATCCATGAAGGACCAAAAAATTATGTTGTGTGTCAATTTTCAGCATCACATACACCTAGTTATTGCTCAATTTTTTTGTTCTACCTTTGTGGTGAAATGGAAAGTACGTGAAAAGCACCTTAACTTGCCTCATGATCAGGACAGGACCGGATGCTAGGTAAGCCGTCACATGCTGTCAATAAAAACATCGCTGTGCATGGTCAGCCTAGTAATGGCAATGCAGGTCTCTCAACTGTTTGTACACCTTTCAATTTGATAGATCCCTTTTTTTATGTTCTCTTTCACTTGAGAACTTCTGTAGTTTTATTACTAATGATAGTTTGTTTTTGGAAATATGTAAACATGTCAGTTCACCATAACGATGATACCATGGATAGGAAGGATATTGCGGCAAGTGGTCAGCCTGGTAATGATAATGATGATCTAGTCACAACTCTTTCTACTCCTTCAATTTGCTGGATCTGTTTTCTCTATTTTGCTTCACTTGAGAAATCTTGTTGGTTTATTATTAATAATAGTTTGTTTTGGGAATACAACGTCAACATGTCAGGTCACCAAAAAGAAGATTTGTGTCTAAACAATCGGACCGCGACTGTGAAAGAAAATGAGCAAGAATTTTCATTGCATGAGCTACAACCACATGCACTTAAATCTCTCCATGAACTTGTTTCATTAGTCCATAACCTTGTAAACCAGAACCAATCACTAAGCATCATTTCAGCGGATCGATCCATTAGCTGCCCAGTTGAAGAAGATGAAGTCAAGAGAAATATTAAAACAGACATATATAATTTGGAAGCTGATGCAATTGCTAATGTTGTTTGGAACCTCGATCCATGTACCTTTCGAAGCGTCTTTCTCGCCATGGCAGTACGTTCTTATTTCCTTTCAGATTTCAGATACTGATTCCATTTCTTTTACAGATATTCCAACCAATGGGAGATAAAAACAAAAATAGACTTGGTTCTATCTGCTTTACTTTACTATATTGGTCTTGTTCCTTTTTGCTACCCACATTCTTCTACACACTTAGCGAAGTTAACAGGTTGTCTTAATCCACATGGAGATGCAATTATTGTTTCAAACTGAATGTACTGCTAAGGATCAAAATGGAGAAATCTTGCACCGAATCATGCTTTATGTATTGAAATATAATTCTTAGCTACAGACAATTGAATTTGAAATTAAACTTAAGATGATTATCATTCATCTGGATAGATGACACTGGCTCCTGAAACTTAAATTTTGCTACATTGATATTATAATCTGGTATTTTGATGACTCCTTTGATACGGTGGTAAACTACTAATTAATAAGTTTTCAGTAAGCCAATCAAGATTATTTTTATAATGTTGAAGTTTATTTTATTTAATACTGGCACTAAACCTTCTTTTCTCTGAGTCAATTAAATGCTTCTGTTTTCTGGAATGTTGGACGGAACATCAGACAAAATTATAGGAGTTTGCCCTTTTGTTTTTTTCTGTTTTGTATTTGTTATCTTTAACTTTTGGCCCAGAAACATTTTGTTTTCTAGTTGAACTCTTGCTGTATTTATGAGATGATGTTCTGTAGGTGCTGCTTTATGCGGTGTTTCACCTGTTGTTTTTCTTCAGAATTTAGCTGCCTAACTTTGAACATTTTTTTCTGGCAAAATAACCGTATTTTCAATCATTCTTACGTTTCTTCATCTTTTCTTAAAACTGGTGACTTTATTTTTCAGCACAATTTTCCGAGGACACTGGAGGCTTTGGTCATGCATGGTCTCTCATCTGTGGGTGCAGAAGTTCTTACCAGGAAATTTGAGCAGATGGATCAAGTTATTTCCGAAGATGATAGGTACCTATTGGTTCTACTACTTAATGAAAAGTTGCATATCTTATCGTGCCTTCACTTATTATTATTATTTTTTCAAATATTTATGTTCCAGGAGTCAATTTTACCAGAAATTTTATAGTGTGTTCGATAATCAGTTCTCTGCCATGGATACTCTCCTAAATGGAAAAGAGTCATTTGCACGCCAGGTGTCTTATTATCTTCTTTTGCAATTTGTCAAACATTACTACACAGCCCCTTAAAGATGGGCGAAGGAGTTTCTAAAGTTGGTATTTCATCTTTTACGTTCTGTCGATTATCACCTTTCTCATGAAATCTCAAATTGGAAGGGATGCTTCTGATATTCTGACATCATTGCTATCTTCAGGGTCTCGTAAAGTCCAATTATAACAACTAGGAGAACAATTATTTGTATTATTAAAGGACAATCTGTTCCCATTTTTTTCTTTGATAATCTTGCTAGTTCATACTATTAAATGTAGGTTGCCGTCTCAGAAGAAAGAAAGGTGATATGTTGAATATATTGCCATAAAGAACTGATGATAAATTTTGGCCTCAATGGCGTAAACATTTTCAAAATCCTTTTCAATGGAAGAAAAGTGTTTTTTTTTTTTTTTGAATAAAATCATGGTTTAATTCATTATCCTTGTGACAGATTATCTTAGAGATCTATCCTTGTGCATTTGTGACCTCAAACATGTATATTTTTTACCAACCCTCTCGGACACAAGGATCTCCTGTGTTCCTTTTTTCCTTATTTCATAATTATGCATGCACCATTCCATTATTTGATGCAGCATAGTATTATCCACTCTGGCTTGAGTTTTGAGCAGAAAAAACAATAAGCAGAGGGCTCACTGTATAAGTTTCTTACGAGGTTCTTTCTTGTGACAGGCATTCAACAATGTGCTGGTCCATTACTTGGGTACTAATCTTGATAGGGCAAAACCATCTGTGGAATAGAAATCACCAACTAATTTTGAACTGCCCATGTCGCATGTAACTACCCTTGGCTTGCAAATCACATCAAGATGAAGGATTTTCTTTCAAATTGTTCATGTAAGTCAATTTTGTGCCACTTATACAATTGAGTACTGTATATTTCTCGCTGATTTTAAGTATGTAATAAACAGTAATATAATTTCACATCGGCTTAGCACATATAAGTTTCCAGGTTTCAGCAACGACCTTCATTTGTTCATAATATGATCTTTGAAACTGTTTAGCAAATTATATTACAGTGGAGTAAAAAAGTTAATTCAGCTCCAGCCTCCATAGTACATATTATGATGGACCTTAAAAGCTTGATATACAATGTGGATGTAAAAAAGATAAAGAGAGTATTATATTTATCAATAATTAAGTAAACAATGTCTTCACATGATGTTAGGTGCAAAATCGAAAGAGGAGACCTATTAATTAACTGGACTTTATTCCCCTCAATGACTGGACCTGTGAGATTGAGCTGCTGCATTGCAACTAGTAATTTAATTAATTTTCGTTAGTTCTTGATAGGGTTTATTACAAAAAGCTGCTTTCAGGTCTAACGAGATTACTGAAAAACATAGTACATTCAAATGGAGCCATAAATGAGCCGAGCCGAGCTTTGAGGTCTTGATTCTTGAGCTCGGGCATGACCCCTTATCGAGTTGGGCCAGCCCAATACCGAGCCTTAATGAGCCGAGCTTGAGCTTTAACGGGCCGAATTATGCTAAAGTTCAGGAAATTACGTAAAAAAAAACCATATTGGTTCGTTACACAACAAGCTCTAAATGAGCTCGAACTCAACTTGTTTATCAACTAGCCGAGCTCATGAGTGGCTCGTTTCGTTTAACAGATCTGCTTTCGAATTAGGATAATTAACTCCACAGATACTTGTTTCTCTTCTGCTTCCGAATTAGGAAAATTCCACAAATACTTGTTTGTCTTTTAATTATTGCATTCCGTAGCTGGGGTTATTTGTAAAATTTAATATACAGCTGGGAACAATTTTGTATTTACATCTTTGTTATTTTTGTCACCATCTGCTTATGAGTCGAGGAATTGTTTGCTTTATTCTTTACTCTTTATTTAGGAATCCTGAATGCTACAGGAATATGCATTATCTCTTTAAGAAGTCCTTTTCTTGTGAGTGGAGCCAAAACTGAAAGATTGTTTTGCGTTGCTCTTTATTCATTGCCTTAGTGACACTCAAGGGTTTTGTGGGGAAAAGTCAATCCTTCCCTCACTGGATTTTTTTTTTACTGTTTTAATGTTTTTGCTGCATGGGGATTTGCAGTAGAAGGTGAAAAAATAGAGATAAAATCATTTGATAGAAGGTTTTGGTAATAATTTGCTTTAGAAGAAAGAAGGAATAAAAAGGTACATAGATCTGTGAAGATGAGATTCCCTGATGAAATATGACATGAGAGAAAGAGAGAGAGAGAGTAGAAGCTTTTGGTTTGTCTGATTGTGTTCAAGAGCAAGGTAGAAAGAAGGTGTTATTCTTTTCTCTTNTTTGGAGATAATGGGCTTCTTGATGCTCTTAAATTTAGAGTCCTTATCAGGGTCTTCTTTATAGCTTCTTGAATCTTGGGATCTCAATAAAATATTCTGTTAATTTCACTTACACCCTTGAGATTTATTCTCATTGTCCAAATTATTAGGTATTATTATTAATTTTTTAAAAAAATATACCTCATGATACTTGTTTCTCGTTTATAAATTGTCTCTCATGTAGTGTGTGCCAATACTCATTGGATGCTTGTGGTTTTTAAGGTGTTACAAGTTATGTTTGTCCCTTAGTTGAGTACTTGAGTGTTATTGTTTATCCCACATCAATTAGATACTGATTTTTGTGGAGATTAGTTAAGATATTGTTTGATTGTGATTTAGGTCAAATTTAAAGAGTAGTTTTCTGTAATGATTCGGGTGTTGGATACGGATTAGGTCAAATCTTGCGTTGACTCAATATATTATGTGCACAGAAATTTAGAAAGAGTCCCCCATAGGAAAAGAGGCCTAAAGCTAAATGGCAATATCAAAACTTTATTTATTTATTTATCTATTTATTTTTTCATTCTAATGATGAATCAAGCATCTTTGTGATAGCCGTTGACATTTCTCATTCTCTTTATTCTTTCTTTTCAATTTTATTTTTATTTTTTTAAAAAATATTTCTATGGTTCTTTAATTGTTTGTACCACACTACAAGTCTACAACAATCTACCCGGACCACCACTAACGCATAAGCCGTGCTGAACAAAAACACACATAGAGCGCACAGCACATAAACTTAAGTCGCTTTTTGCACTCACGCTTATTACAGCAGGTTTTACGTCCTCTAAACCCGCTTTTAGAAAAGGCTGTTCAGCTTTCGATTCAGCCCCCGGATAAGGTACTTTTGTGTTTTTCAGCAGCTCAAGGCAAAAAAAGCTTTTTGAGAGAACAAATTCAAAGTTTTAAGAGAATTGCTTCAATGATTGTATTGTGTACTACAATACCTAACTAGATTGCATGTGTTAATGCTCTCTTTGAATTCTTGAGGTGAAAAGATTTTGAGTGATTGTATTCTTCAAATTAGTTTATTGTTAAACAGTCATTAAATTACAACGACAATATACATTGAATCTTAATGATAATTCTATATAGTTATTCCAATGCTATATAACTTATGATGGGATATTCCAGTAGCAATTCAATGAAATGTTCCTCACCTGTTGGTTTTGATGATTCCAATTGACAATTTTTCTAACTGTTAGAAATATTGGTTGGAAAAATAATTTCAACGGAATATTTTTACAATCATTGAAAAAAGCGGTATTGATATCATCAATTTCCGACTATATGCAAAGAAAAATTCTATACCAACAAAAGATTGCAGTGTTGACTTCGGTTGGAATATCGACAGTTATAACATTGGAATATTCATAGGAATATTTGTTATCTTATTTTTTTGTTGCATCTTTTTATTGTAATATAATGTTTTTTTTTTCGGTAATTTTTCAACATATTTTGAATTTATATATATCAAATTTTACCCCCAGTCAGATCTCAAGAGTATTTGTGATGACATGATCGATAAACAACAAAATTTCCAAACTAAAGAAACAATTCACCGCCTTTAATTCGAAAATGACTTGAGATACAGTAGGGTAACAAAATTCGCATGCTCCCTAAGATCATACAAAAAAAATAAAATAAAAGAAAGAAATACATAGTCTTGAACAAGTTATGAGGCAAATACAATAATTAGTTTCATCAATATTTTCCCCAACCCAAGCATGTCTCCCCCGTAAATCCGCACCCCGGATAATCGAACACCGCCGGAAATTTCACGGCCATGTTTCCTCCTCCTCTTCCTCTTCCAGCCAGCCCTAGAAAATCCCTCGTGAACCCGTCATCTTCTCCTCTGCCGCTCCACGCTGGCCCCAAGGCGTGGTGCATGTCTAGGTGGGCCATGGTGGACCCCACGTGGCCCGATTGAGTGCTTCCCATCGTCGCCGCCGCTTTCTGGAGGAGCGCGGTGGCCGAGAGCGGCAGCGGTGGCGGTGGTGGTGGGCCGCCACCAGTGGGCGGCGGCACGAGGATTGAGTGGTTGTTGTTGTTGTTGATGCAGTCAAAGTTGTTGATGATGTGGACGGAGTTTTCCCGTTTGACGATGTTGAAGGGATGGTTATTGTTATTAGGGTTTTGGCGGTGGCATTGCGGCGGTGGGTCCCACGGGTGGCTGCGGCTGCCGTGGCCAGAGATCGGAAGGGTAATTTGGGGATTATTGAAGTGGAATAGGGTTGGGTTGTTGATAGGGTTTTGGGCCGAGATCTGGTTGTTAGGGATTTGGGCCGAGATCGGGATGTTTGTGGCTGCGGAAAGACGAGCGCTTTCCTCGGCAAGCGCGTCGCAGAATGCGCGGTGGGTGATGAAGCTGTCCTTCCTGCGATAAGATCGATTTGAATATATATGAGGACAAAATTGGGCTTTCGATTCAAAATTGTGAAGAAAATGAGAGAATGTTATTGTAAATTTTATCATATGTTGAGGAAAAAGAAGTTGAAAATTAATGTGTATATATATATATATATCAATTATATGCCATGATGTTAAGTATTTAACCTAGTTTGTGATGCAAGAGTGTTGATTTGGATAATTTTTCGTTACATTTTTTGTTGATCTTATGTTAGACTGTCAATGGTTAGAAAGTTGTACATAACTTATAAGAAATATGCATATTTTTACACCTAATTATCATATTTCAAAATAATATATAGATAAAAGTATAACATTTTAAAATAGTATATAGATAAAAGTATAAGAAATATTATAACATTTTTATATGAAAACATAATTGCTGGTTAAACAACCTAATATTAGTTATAGGGAGATGCTACGGTCCCGTTACGGAGTCATTCCGTCGGGGTTTGTAACCGTTAGATCAACTATCCTTGAGGGTTACATGATGATCTAACGGTTACAAACCCCAACGAAATGGTTCTGTAACGGGATTATAGTATTTCTCTTAGTTATATTTTCTAATGTTAGGACCAATGTGTCACATAAAACATACCCATGGAACTGTTTTTGACAATATAAGCAAAATTTGGTTTGACTAAAATACCAATAAATTCTTGAAATATACCTAGCTACCTATGTGTACAACTTAAAATTGCAATCTCTCTCCCTCTATATATATACCTAAAAAACACTATTATTCAAAAAATTGTAGCGACTAGAATACAATTTAATTTAATTTTTAAAAAATGAACAAGAAAATCTAGGTGAATTTTGCTCGCAAGCCCCTATGCGTGAGAGAAAGCATGATAGTTACGTATTTGCATGCCAAAACGAGCAAAAGGGACATCACTGATATATAACTGAGTAAAAAAGTTGACACAGAAAAAATGTTCCACAATGACGAAAGCCTCGTAAAACACACACTCACACACAAAAACACGCACAGACCCACATTGGTGTCTGTGTGTGCATGTGCAAACTCCTAATTTTTTTTCTTTCACAATGTGTAACTTTCAAAGAGGCAAAATGTGGAAAACAACGCAACAACAATTAATGGCAAGTGACTTTTCACAGGGTTTATCAGTTTCATTTTTTTTTTCCTAGCTTTGATGATTATAACTTCAGAATTTACAGCCTCACAGTAAAAATAGTGACACGTCCATGAAAAATATTCTTTTCTCTGCAGGGATTCCCATGGCCGTGAATCATGATCACCCCAAATATTCAAGTTTCAATAGTTCTATCCTTTGAAAAAAGGGTCCAAATGCTGTTCATCAAATTTCTTTTTTGGGATATAGATAAATTCATTACTAATCAAATACTTGCAAGTTGGGATATTTTTGTTTGTGTTGTTAATTTATTATGTACACTATGATTCAGTTTGAAAAAATGCACATCAGTTAAAATATTATATGATTGTCTAACTGTTAAATCTGCCTAACAATAGTTTTACTATTTGCTGAAATGTATTTTCATATGGAAATAAACTAAATATATATATATATATATATATATATATTTTAAAAAAAAAAATCATGTATTGGGTTTTTGTTAAAATGTACTAAAGTCTTCAAACAAAATATTGTTAATTGAACCAGGCAACTTTGTATTAATGTCCAATGTCCATTCCAATGTCACGACATATATAGCATTGTGTACTCAACTAATAACACCACACACAAGAACTACCATTGGTTATTACTTATTACCCCCAAGAATTTGTGAATTGACTAATGTTTTTTTGTCTCATTATTTAAGTTAAAAAGATAGTAAGTCCACTGTTAAGCATACCCAACAGTCATCATTTTTCAATAAATATGTATAATTTTAAACTGAAATGTCATACTCGAATAAATAACATAAACAAAATTATGACATTTCATAGATCAGAACACAAACACATAAGATCATCATAACAATTTCATAACTAAACAAAAATGTGTCAATAATTAACCAAGAATCATTTAATCAATCAATCAATCAAATTAATTTAAATAACTAAAAACTTACCTGGAGAAAAGATTTCCACATTCACATCTATACTCTCTCGTCCCACATGTCTTGGAATGAGCCTTCCAATCAGACTGAACAGCATAAACCTTCGAACACTTTTCGCATTTCCATTTTTTCTCTCCATGTTTTCTGCAATAATGCTTCTTGATTCCCGTGAGATCTCCAAGAGCTCTCGATGGGTGGTGGTGAAGACAAGTGGGCTCGGGACAAACGTAAGCCCGTTTTTTCGTCTCTTTGCCATTTCTTTGCTTGAGCTTCCACGGCAAGTTGTGGCCTCGTCTGTGGAGCTGAAGGTTTTGATCCCTCTGAAAACCCTTGTTGCAAATCTCACAAACAAATCTGTTTGTGGCCAAAAGGGTTTTGGGGGAAAGGGCAATCACCTCAGCATCTGGGTCTGCATGAATTTGGTTCGTTAGTTATTGGGTTGAAACTTAGA